GTAGGTCTAGACAAGCAATCAGCTATAACGTTTCGATCTCCCTAAATCTGATATATATTCTGTGAGAATACTAACCCTATTACCGGAAATCGACAATACAACTATCCTACACCATGAAAATAACAGATTTAGATTACAGATGCTGGAAGCAATTTATATATAAAAAAAAATACTTATACTAATCAACAACTTATAGTTTTGTACCACTTGCACCCCTGAAGATGATCTTGGGAGAAGATCGAAAGTACTTGGGAAATGAAAATAAAAGAAATTTAAACAGCTATAGCACATTTCTCTTATCTTTTAACATCAATACATGGAAGGATATCCGTGAGTATGAACGGATTTTATTAAAAATTAGCAGACATAATGTTTGTAATTTATTCAATCAGACATATATATATATATATATATATATATATATATATATATTGGAATTCACCAAATATGTTGTTAGGGATTTGTCTCTTTTGTGTCGGGTTATCAAAATTTGTTTTTCGTCGGAGTCACCAAATATGCGGTTATCAAAATCTGTTTTTCGTCGTGGTCAACAAATATGTTGTGCGGGAATATGTAGTATAGACGGCGTTTAAAGTGTATGAAACATACGACAAGATAAATATATGAAAATTCAAACAAAACACAAAAGTCTTCGTATAAAAGACTTATATATATATATATATATATATATATATATATATATATATATATGTGTGTGTGTGTGTGTGTGTGTGTGTGTGTGTGTGTGTGTGTTCGAAATTATTAATACAAGGTTTTCATATGACAACTTCCAAACGACTGCGTACAAAAACAATATAAATTTTGTACTTATCTTAGCCGGAAATTGTACGTCTTGTTGCTATAACTTCCAGGAGCAAAAAGAGTGTGATTGACTTTCCCGCCTAACGATGCCACGCGGGGGTGGGGTTCGTCAGGTCGTGTGATGCGTGGCAACGAGCACTGTCATGATGAAAGCGGTCCCCGTCTTCCTTGTCTGGTAAAAGATTAGACCGTAGTAAACTAATATACTTTTCAGTTTTCAGTTTAGGTTTTCATCAACTTTACCCAAATTTCTTCTCGCATTGTTTTTGAAGCAACCCCACACCATTACATGTCCACCATCAACTTTTACCGTCTTTGTGGTTATATCTTGCATTGTTTCTTTCTCACATTGGTCATCTTACATATTCTCTGTTCTGCATTCATCACTAAAAATTCCTTTTTGCTGCTTTCCAGCATCTCAATTAAGAAGTTATTTTGATCATTTCGATTTTCTATTCCGATGTTTTTTTTATTAATATCTTTTGTTGGTTGTTTTTGTTTTTTCTACTGTGCGTATGTTCATTTCTTTTTTTCTAACACTGTGTACTGTGTCAGCTGAAACCTTACTGTTAAGAAAGCCTTCACACCTCATTTATCTGGCAGTTAATTTTGAATTGACTACTGATTCATTTCTTGATTGCTTCGTTTTCTATGGCTTATCAACCCCGTACAAGTTATTTAAAGCCAGAAAATAGTCTTAGATTGTAACAATTCTTTTTGGAGATAATAATGGTTTAGTAATTCAACTCTTATTAATTAACCCATAACTGGGGGAGAAGAGACTGATTCATACCTTTCCTAAAAGTGTTTGCGCGTAAGTGAATATAAAGGACCCAACGAAAATTGGAACTCGGCTCTCCGATTAACAATTCCGAGCCATTACACCATCTGCACATCCAAATTTACAGCACCTGGTATTTCCAAGTGGTCACTGGTTCTTTGTGTAAAAATACGATCTTATATTTATCTGCCTCGTTTAGGCAGGATAAAAGCACAGAATTTCGCTCAGAAAGTCTTCGAGAGATGCTGAGAAAATGGCGTATCAGGAGATATTTTAGAGCAGCATATAAATAAACCAAGCGGAAATGGTATTATTATAGAACGACATCACCACACAATAAATCATCGCCGAACGAGGAGACATTTCGCCAACTGAGGCCGTTTTTTTTTTTTTTTTTTTTTTTGTACATGTATGAAAACTATAGGTTATCTCCTCTTAGTTGGTAAGATACTTTAGGGAAAGATAAGTTTGTTTATCTGATAATAATGTGTAAGAACCAAATTTAGGCGCCAAATATATTTGAGGCGTCAAAGGGAGGGGCCCTGAAGACCACCGAAGTGAAAGGATGCGTTTTAAATTACACGAGCCAAACTGAATAGATATGTTAATGCATCGACAAGCAGACATAGGAAAAAGAGATATGATCAACTTCAGATAATTGTTTCTATCCATTTCAAATAGAATCATGTATTAAACCATGTTCCCGATGAAATGACATTAACTGATAAAGGAATATGTTTAGCAATTCTTTCTTCTCTTTCGCGCTCTATAAATGTATTATAAAAGTTTTCTTTTTAAACTGTTCATTTGTCTCGTCTTTTGTTTCTCTGTTATGATTCATATGGGGAGTCACTAATTTTCCCATATATATCACGAAAATCTGGCCAAGCAAAGGAGACGGTTCTACAGAGATCCGCCTTTAGCTACGAATAGAGGCATTCAAAGGTTATACTGAGAAGTCCATTACCAATGGCGGAAATGGTATTGTAACACGATCTTTTAGGGCATATGTGGATGGCCCTACAAATGTTTACAAACATATGTACTAAATAATTTTTCAAAAACGGTCTGCTAGCTATCATTTGTATCTAGCGGTCAAGTTTACATAAACTGTCTTATGTTTTTCCCCTTCCCCTTAAAAAAAAACAACAACAAAAAAACAAAAACAGTAACAATATTTATTACTTAATAAATAAAAATATTTTTGATAAATCTTCCATGTTTGATTAGGCCAGATTTCATACGTATATTCGTTAGCGTGACGATTATAAGCAAGACAAGGATCTGGTGTCTTATCAAGTGATAGTGTTTCTACATTCAACATACAGGGGAAGCCTGGTCGCCTAGTGAGGTTTCTTATGTATGGCCTTGTGTCAGACCACTAGACTCCCACATATAAGCGTATTTGATATTCTTTTAGAATATCAATGGTTCACGATAAGGTTAGCAACGGTAGAGAATGGATAAACATAAATGAGGTATGAGAGGCATAAAGTTTATTTTTAACAACAAATGACAGGATGAAGAAAGGATAGAATGCAGTGTCGAGTTTTCCTGGTTTCTGGATAGATTGGTCCAGCAAATCTGTGCAACGTGAGGTTGATATTGATGTTGACAGTCGAACGTTGTTGCACGCCCAAAATAGTAATGGTTGGCGTCAAATGTTCTTGAAAAGGAAGTAACCAAAAAACGTAGGCGGGTGTTGGGTGTTAATAATAAGTATCAGTATAGAATATAGATACTTATTATTAACACCCAACACCCGCCTAGCCAACTTAAACAATTCGCCCTAGCTGTTACCATGGAAATTTTGATTTTAATTTTTAAAACACGTAAATTTCAGAAACACGTTATTCCAAAAATTTCGCTTGAAGATGGAACAGAGCTTATTTTAACTCAATTTAATTTAAATAATTATATTGAAGTTTTCGGCTCTTGTTTTGAAACATGGGACTTCTTATGTCGCGATTTGGAATCATATTTTTAAATAAATAATTATATTTATGCTCTACTTTTGTATCGAGCACTATTTTTAAAAAATAATAACTAAAATACTAAGGGACTTTGGATTATTTACCTAACCAGTTCCTTCCTATTTTCTATATATTTTCACATATATATATATATATATATATATATATATATATATATATATATATATATATGTTAAAAAATTATTTTAAAAAAGCATTATTATTACATTCCAAAATATATTTCGGTTTTAAAAACCCAGATAAAATATCATAAATTTAAATTTTGTTTTCATCTTTTAGATGGACTTGAAAGTGGTCTTCAGCAAAAGTGGATTTTAGTTTAATCCGAGGACTAATCAAGAATATTTTAAAAGAAATAAAAGGTGTTTATCATTATTTATAATCAGACTAATATCCTCATTTTTTGTTAATTCTACAGTATATCAGCCATCCTTCTTCTGGTGTCTATCGATTCGAATAACCTTCAGGGAATTACGACACTTTATTTAATCTGTAGTGAGTGTGAAATAATAATAACTCACTTTGTCCACTCCCTTCAAATTCGGAGGACTGAGGAAGAAGACGGAAATATATACGTGAGCCTATGTGAGATTTTTGCCTTTCACAGAACTTATCTGGTGAGAAGGAGGAAAAAAATTCGCGAGCCTACGTGAAATTCTTTTTAATATAAAATGAGGAGAAAAATTAAATTAAAGAGAAGAATGTCTGAAGTCATGTGAGAAGTTTCAGTTCCTCGCGACCAGCGTTGAAGTACTCACCAGTGTAAAATTACTCGATAAATATATTATTTAACCAACACGCGGAAATTTTCTCTCAACAATCCAAGAAAGCAAAGTATTTCAAACTATCTCTTTTCATCTACTTTTGAATGTATGCAAACCATATATCCCTTTGGTGAGCAACGAACACTCATACATTTGTCTTAAACATTTTTGAATATTATTTTGTATTGGGTTATTTAATCTGTTTTATGAACATTTTCTCTAGTCTACTTTCGAAAAGAATTCTTTTAAAACTCACTGGTTTCGACTTCCAGGAGCAGAGATGCAACTGTCTCCAAGCCGTTCAAACACAGGAGAAGACGTGGAAAGGTCTTTTTAAATTATCTTTACACAAAAATTTAAAAAGAAGAAAAATAAACTAGAAAAAATGATAAAGAAATTATTAAATTGATCATTAATTTACCTCTACTTTTTTATTCCTGTTTTTTCGCTACTAGTCTTGCGCCATGTCTAAGTGTCCAGAGCAGTAGATCACTGGCAAGTTCTTGTTTTGCTCGCCTGAGTTCGCGTAAGATTGTAGAAATAACAGGGATGGGACCATAGATCTGTGATTTAGTTGGATGTTGTCTCCAAGAGATGTTAAGTATAGCTCTCATCATCTGAGTGTAGGTTCCATCGAGCTTAGACTCTAGGGTAGTGGCTTCGAAACGCTACGGTGCGCCTCATAGGTGTGGTGGAAAAGGATAGCAGGTGAGGCGGAAGAGGATAGCAGGTTAGGCAGAGGAGGATAGCAGGTGAGGCGGAAGAGGGTAGCGGGTGAAGCGGAAGAGGATAGCAGGTGAGGCGGAAGAGGATAGCAGAGGAGGATAGCAGGTGAGGCGGAAGAGGATAGCAGGTGAGGCAGAGGAGGATAGCAGGTGAGGCGGAAGAGGATAGCAGGTGAGGCGGAAGAGGATAGTGGTGAGGCAGAGGATGAAGGGTGAGGCGGAAGAGGGTGAAGGGTGAAGTGGAAGAGGATAGCAGGTGAGGCGGAAGAGGATAGCAGAGGAGGATAGCAGGTGAGGCGGAAAAGGATAGCAGGTGAAGTGGAAGAGGATAGCAGGTGAGGCGGAAGAGGATAGCAGGTGAGGCAGAGGAGGATAGCAGGTGAAGCGGAAGAGGGTAGCGGGTGAAGCAGAAGAGGATAGCAGGTAAGGCGGAATAGGATATCAGGTGAGGCAGAGGAGGATAGCAGGTGAGGCAGAAGAGGGTAGCGGGTGAGGCAGAGGAGGATAGCAGGTGAGGCGGAAGAGGATAGCGGGTGAAGCGGATGAGGATAGCAGGTGAGGCAGAAGAGGATAGCAGGTGAGGCGGAATAGGATAGCGGGTGAAGCGGAAGAGGATAGCAGGTGAGGCGGAGGAGGATAGTGGGTGAGGCGGAATGATTGAAAGACAGTCAAACATTTAGAAACAGTTTCAAAAAATATATATGTCAAAAATAAATAAGATTTCAAAATTTAAAATATCATTATGGATTACTTGTACTTGCATGCATGAGTCCCAGTATAAATAGTTATAAATAATTGACACCAATTTTATCATTGTGATATTTTTGCATTATATCAAGTATTAAGAATATAGTAACTAGGCTCTGCAAATTGGAAGAGAGAGTTATCAATGATAATGTTCTGACGTTGAACTAGCGGTTATCTTCCTTTAAACATCTCTATTTTTCTTTTTAAATGTACTTTTTTCACATAAAATTTGGTGAAGCACAAGAAAAATTTTAATTCCGAAAATGCAGCCCAGAAAAATAAGTTTGAGAACCATTGGTCTAATATATGTACTTCTTTAAACAGGAGTTGGTAGACAGACACGTGAAGAAAGCTGAGGAGCACAACGAGCGAAACGTTGTGATAAAATAACAAAGATGACGACATTAGTCTGTCTGTAAATGATGCAAATAAATAAAAAGGATTAATTATATAAGATTTAAAGACAGATTTAACGAATGTTTCTAAGTAATCATAAAAATTTTCAAAAAATAAAACCTGAAATGGTTATTCCAGTCTTCTCTTTCTGTGTGCTGTGTCCCTTCAGGACGTGGGTCTTCATGACTCTCCACAAGTTCCTATCAGTCGTTTCACTTAACAGTATTTCTCCTTTTGCCAAGCCTCCCGCCTCACTGTTCTGTCACACGAGCTCGTCGCGTTGGTGGACAACTGCTTTCCCCTAATTTTCTTGCCATCGATATGCACCCCCTTTAAGAGTTCAGCTTTCCAAGTCCTCTTTCTTCATTATCTGTGAAAAAGTTTTCTGATTCGGAGGGTGTTCTTTTTGTTACCGTTTACTTCAAGACTTCCATGTTGCTTATTCGCTTCGTCCATGGAATTCTCAGTATCCTTCTGTAGAACCATATTTCTGTTGCCTCCAGTTTCTTCCTCTTCATCTGTGGTGAGATTGTCCAGCATTCACACCCATGCAAGAAGATTGGCATCACATAGCAATTCAGAACTCTTCTGACGATTTTTTCTGATTCTCGGTACTTTCTTTAGCTTTTGGAGTGCATCTAATCCGATACGTGTTCGGATTTCAGTGCCATATTTTCCATCCCCTGTTTTAATTTTAAAACACTTCCCAGATATTCCACTTTTTTTTTTCTTTTTTTTTTTGGTAGATGTGTTCTTCTGTTGCATTTTTATATAAAAAAAAAATAAAATACTGATCAACATTTACAACGGAATTCAACCTGTAGCCGAAAACATATAAGCTGAAACATTGTGATACATAGTCAACGAAAATAAAGACTGTAGTAGAAGTCTGGTCGCCTAATATGGTTTCCTTTTGTATGGCCTTATGTCAGGCCACCAGACTCCCACATACAAGCGTAGTTGATAATCTTTTAGGATATCAACGGTTCTTGACAAGGTTAGCAACGACAGAGAATGGACAGACACGAATGGTGTATGAAAACACATAACAAATATAAGTTTATTTAATAACAAACTGACAGGATGAAGAACGAAAGAATGTGGTGTCGAGTTCCTGGATTCTGGATAGTAGGTCTGGCGAATCTGTGAAGCGTGCGGTTGATGTTGAGGTTGAACGTTATTGTGCGCCAAATTGTAATGTTTGGCACCAAATGTTCCTGAAGAAAAAAAGGAGCCGGAGAATAAAAGAAGAATCAATGGAGACTTAGAAACAGATTAACCCGGTAGGTTATGAAACTCCGACATGAATTCGACCAGGATAGGATCACAGAGTTTATAAGATGCAAGAGAAATGTTCGTCAACATAGAATGAAGTATAGACCAAGGGAAAGATCCAGAAAATACAAATACCACGTGTCGAGGCTCGTGGGTTCTTGTTGCTTTGGATGGGATGTAAGGTTCGCTTGATACTGTGGTAAAGGTTGTTTAAAAGATGCTAGGTTGCTGCCGTAGATGAGAACAGTTAAGAGAACGGTTAAATGCTGATAGAAAAATGAATTCTCTGACGTGCGACGATCCTTCGACGGAGATAGATGTAAATACGTAGAACTTGGACTTTCGCTGTAGTTGACAAGTGGAGATTCTGGAAGAGTTCGTTACAAATGCTTGTTGCTTTTCTTTTCTTTTGGAAGAGAATCTCGTATTATGTAGGAAAGTCGGAAAGGTTGGGCTAAGACCGAGTCAACGATGGTAAAGATAGCTTCAGGCAAAGAAGTTGACTATAGGTCTCTTACCGAAGTCTAGGTGTTTGAACTGTATGGTGAAACGGGAAACGAGTCTTCTCGACTCGATCCCCGCAGATCGTCCGTCCGCACGTGGGTACTTATTGGTGGGGATACGATAAGTCACGTGACTTTTTTGACTGTTAGCGAATGCCAACCATCAAACCAATTTGAATGGATGTCCATTCAAAACGGTCACGTTGAAAGCGTTGGGTCGTTGATCAACGGGTAGCAGCGACGATGAAAAAAGGAGAAAGAAAAGTTTTGTGGCAACCGTTGATGGAAGGAGGGGTGTGCCGATAAGACTAACTTACACATGGTAAAATAATGACAAGTTTATACGTTCTCAAATTGGAATATTTCTTAATCGGGAAATATTTTCACCTTTCACCGTTTGTTTAATTTTTATCTTTATTTTCGTCAGCTGTGAAAACAACAACAAAGCGTCGCCGTTGATATTTTTCCTCCATGTCTTGATATTTTTACTTTCTTTCTACAATTATGGTGCATTATTTAACAGTGTCTGAAAATAAAGATCAGAGTAGAAAGACCAATTTATTTTAGCCTACCAGGTTATGCTCTTCATTCAAGATCATATTTTATTTTTTGGACAACTCAATTCCCACCTCCTTTGCTTGTTTTTCTTTTCAAATATGTCACGGGATTTGTCTTTCCACTTTTCTCAGATTTATAGATTAAAAGGAAACGAAAAATATTTTTAAAAAATCACTATTTAAAGTTCGGATTTTGATGTCGCGGCTTTTTAGCAATATTTCATTCAAGAAAAAAAAACAACATTTTCAAAGAAAACGTAAGTTTTGTTTTTATAATTATTTCTAACAATATAGATTGATTTGTTGAATGCAATTATGAATGTCGAAATTCTTTTTTTGTGTGTGTTTCAAATTAAATCCGCGATTTTTTTTCTGATTTTGATTAAAATATGTGTAATTCAAGGTGTGAAAGTAAATAAAGTAAAAAAATATCAACTTATAATTAATTCATATTTAAATAATACTTAGTTTAAGTGAACGAGTCGAGAAAATTACTTTGTTTTCATACTTTTAATAAAATTCGCCAATGACCATAGAACAGATAAAAAAGTGAAGTCAAAGTGGAAAGAGACAAAAAAAAGTACTTGATGGAAGAAGCTAAGCATATTGATGACTGAAAGTTGAATCCCACCTTTTTTTTTTCTTATCCTTATTTCACGCTTGTAGAGTTGCTTCTTTCTCGGTACCCATCGTTTTGCTGAGATTAAAAAAATCTTAAAAATTATCCGTTTTAAAATACCTACAGGGTGGTCCGAAAGTCTTGTCACCCCGCCCCAACACACACACACACACACATTATATGGCTGACACGTACAATTTGGAAGTGAGGGTTAAGATGACAAAACTTTCTGACCACTCTCTACATTTTTAAATTCACTTTTTAAATACAAATAATGATATATATTTCGAAGGGTTGCACATTTCGGCTAACAGATTCAATTCCTATTAACCAGGGGTTGTTGCCAGACAAAGGGAAATTCGCCCTCATGACACAGATGCCCATTTCAATTCTTACCAACAAAAAAAAAAATGGTTTCTTCTAGAATGAAAATGAAAGCAAAAAATTGGTTCTCCCTGTTTTAAAAATAAAATATTTGCCATAAAACATGGAATTCAACGTAATGAGTAAATTAAATAAAGAAAAAAGAATAATCCATTCTTTTTTTCTTTATTTTTTTACTCGCTGGATAGGTTATTTTATTACCCCCCCCCCCTCCAAACAAAAGAAACTCTGGGGAAATAAGGGAGGAGTTACCGTTACCCCAACCCTTCTTTGTATTTTTAATTTGCTACCGGGGTGTTCCGTGTTCGTTCAATTTTTTTTTACAGTTAAAAAAGTAAAGAAATCCTTGAAGATGTTATTTCAGTAAAAAAAAAAAAATCTATAGCCGACTCAAAATGTGAACATATGGAAAATTCAGCCCGCATCTTGTCAACAACAATTCCATAAAAACTTAAAAAAATAATTTTTTTGAAAATTTGTGCTTTTTCAGATTCGACAGAAAAATATCCCTTGGCTTACAATATGAACAAACAAGAAAATTTTCTAAATGATTTAGAAAATTTTCTTGTACAGTGTAACCCGGATATAAGAGAGTTGTCGGGACCGGAGAAGAAGTCTCTTATATCCGGGTTTCTCTTATATCCGGGTTTGGTCTGTTTTATATACATTTAACACAGGCTCTAATTTGGGACCAGAGAAAATCTCTCTTATATCCGGGTTTCTCTTATATCCGGGTTACACTGTAATATTTCATTGCAAAAAAGTTTCTTTTATAAAAAAATAAAGACAGGTTTGAAGATTTAAAAAAAAAATGTAAAGTTTAATTGTCATTTTCGAGTGTGAACCTTTTTTAAAAGAATTTTATTTCATTTATTCCTTTTACCAACTGTTAGTTAGATTATTAGATGTACAAAAAGGAGATAATTCTGATATCACGTGTTGACTGACTATTATTCAATATCGGAGGAGTTTAATTTAATTTGATATTTTCTTGTACAGTCAAATTATTCATTATACTAATTTTAATAAAACTGTATACAATGAAATTAACAAATGTTCTTATTGTTTAAGATTAAAATAAAGAAAATTTAGTTTTAAACATAACAAATTTTTCATTATCGCACTGCTAGTCTTCCGTATTTCTTTAGGTTACTTTTTTAGTTTTACGTTTTTCCGCGCTTTTTTGAACAGGGGTAGAATAATTCTTTTTACTTTATCCTTTGACTTCACAAGCTACCGTGTGTAAATAATTTTTTTTTTTTTTTTTTTTTTAGAAAATCCAGTTAATTAATCCTTAAATTTACTAATATACTTTGAAACACGCCTCTTGGACAAATATTGAATTTTAAAAGAATTTAAAATTTGTTGTTTACAGTTTTTGTATACAATGGCGGCGCGATGAGTTGATGAGTGACGAAAAAACGTACCAATGTTTTCAAAATACCTCAGAAGTTTATTTATACACGGAAATTAATTCTTCTTTTAACATAGACTGTTATCTTCCAAATAGAATTCAATAGAAATTTAAGTTCAAAGAAGACATTAAATTTTTTTTTTTCGAATTTAAAAAGTTCATGATGGTACCTTGTATGTTTATGTATGTTTGTTTGTGTGTATGTAATTCACTTGGCAAAAATAATTCTACAAAATTGAAAAAATGAATATTAATTCTATTTATTATCTAATAATTTCCAAAAAGTTCAGTAAAATTTCATAATTATTATCTGATTATTGTACTGTTAAAAAGTTAAGCTTTTTTTTTTTTGTCTTTATGATTTTAATGCCTAGGCCAGAGTAATAATGATTGTCTGAAAGGAGCAGAAATAATTATTACAAAGTCTTATTTCAAGCCCAGTCAAAGTGTGTGTGTGTGTGTGTGTGTGTGTGTAAATAGCACAAACACATGGAAGTCCCTCATGCACACCAGACATAGGCACAAACTGAGCATGACGATAAATTACATCCGGCAGTAAGGCCTTTGATTGGGTGATTGAAGGTTTTGAGGAGCATGAAACTACATTTTAATTTCTGTTGTTCCCAGGTCCACCTTGACCCCGGGGTGGTTGCCCGTGTTAGGGTTCGAACTATGGGCAAATAGTGAACCCCCAAATTGAGGTCAAAACATTATGAAAAGATAAAAATAGATTTTTGTAGTAAGACTACAAGCAATACATTTTCATAATAAAAAAATTACCAACAATACATTTTTGAAAAAAAGAATTACTAAAGCTACAAAGAAAATTAAATTTCAACATTAAATGCTCCATAAAAACTTGATATGCCATTAAACAAACCAAACAGACATGGGCATATACCAAGTGTAACAGCAAAATTGTCCAAATCATGTAACAGCATGGGATAATTGTCCATTCCACAAAATGTTTAATATCTAAAAAAAAAAAGAAGTAAACCAAGTGAATTTCTTTTTTCCAGGCTTTTGGTTATGTTAAGCCATCTTAACACCATTTATCGTCATAAGAATCGCTGAAAAACCCTTTGACTTATTCAGTAGAAAGAGAATAGATTAAAATCATTTTTCGTCAGACCCAGTGTCTTCCCAATTGAGCAATGGTGAAAGGAAAAAGATCATTCAGGCCTTCAGTAATGGTACCAACATTCATACTCTGGCTTCCATATTCAAAATCCATTCAAGAACCATTAAGAGAATGGTGAATAAGTTTAAAAAGAAAGGGAACAGTAGAAAGGAAAACTGAATGAAAAGGTCACAACAGAAAGAGGGATGATCATTTCAAGTTAGAGCTAAAGAAATCAATTAGAAAAGATCCAACTCAATCCACAAGATGTTTGGCATGTGCGAGAGGAGTTTCAGCTATGACAGTAGTGAAAAAAGACTTGAAAATGAAATCGTACGTGAAATCTTTAAGGCACCTTGTTCCTCCAGGACAAAGTTAGACAGTGAAGATCATCTTGAATAATTATGAAAATTATCCTGGAATAATATTTGGACTTCAATCCTTCATGACTCTCAGATCCTAGGCTATGATTAATTAATGAGAAACATGTCATTTTCGTTTATGATTGATTTTATCACAATTCTTCTGTTAAGTATGGAGAGTAATTATACATTCTTATTGTTCAAAGTAGAGTCCAATAGTGTTATAAAACCTCTGAGAATTCCAGTAAGATATCTTTAATCATTTCTAAGATGCAATGGTTCAAAGCTTAATCTAACAATTAGACAGTTTTGCTGTTACATGATTTGGACAATTTTGCTGTTACACCTGGTATATATGTTATATACACACATGCAAAGTTACATGCAGTGTATAATGGACAGACAGTGCTTCTTTTATAGTATATGTTTATGTATTCATCATTATCATTGAATTTCCATATCAGTATGTCAGTAGTGACTGGTGACTTTCATTGAAGAACAAGTGGCAGCAAGTATCAATATTCTAGCTCTGATGTTCATCTACTGATTTTAGTAATGCTCTATGGTTAGGTTTCGATTCTTTTATAGATTTGTAATTGTTTGTTCTGGAAGCATAATTTTTCAAAACATTTTTTTATCTAATCTGATATGTGGGTACTTTGATCACTGCTGAAATGTGATTGATGTCACAGAAACATGCAAATATTTCACAGCCACTTGAAGTAATAAATAACAAATAAATTAAGTAATTGAAACAAATAGTTACTATATTAAACAAACAGGTTTTGGAAGTAACAAAAACTGGAACAAGGAATTACTTTATTAAACAAATAATTTCAACTGAAAAGAGAAAGATTCAACACAAGGTATTAAAAGGGTTAAAAGGGAGGGGGGGAATTCTTTGGATGTTACAATGTAACATATTTTAGCATGGACCACAGAATTTGACTTGCACTTTTTTGTTGTTTTGTTTTGTGCAAAAACTCAATATTTCACTCTTCTGTAAATTTAACATGTAAATATTTTTTTAACATTGATTGCAAGATCAAAAATAAAAGCTTCATTTTGATAAAAGGAATACTTCTACAATGAAGCACTTGATTCCTTCTCTGACATGTCCATCCAACATTGTTAGCAATTAGACAAGGAAGAAATTGTTCAGACAATGTCAGCTACGTAAATTACTTTTTGTTTGTTCAAAAAAAAAAAAAAAAAAAAAAATCAACTGCCAAAGTGCTCCCAACAAAAGATTAAAATAGTTCTCACATATATTCTAATGACTTTTTGTATATTAAGCAAAATCAGTAACGTGCGCCGGCATCCAATCAAAATGTGAAATAAAAATTTTGTTTATATTTAATTTGAATAAAGTATTTATTTCATGTTTCTTTCGTTTTTACATATTTAAAAGGTCTTCCTGTTTCATATTTGTCAGCCCTAGGCCCTATAGCCCCCCCCACTACACACAAAAACGCATACTACTTGAGGCTTAGGGACATTCAATCAAGGAGTTGGCCCCAGACGTTACTAAACCTCTGCATATCACTGGTCAAAATTATTATGTTATTCCAAAGTTATTTTAAATATATTACATAATTAAAAAAATACCAGTTCAGTCGCACTTACTTCACTCAAGGCAAAAATGGCCAAATGTCTACTCTAAATTGTTTGTCAATTTAAAATATAACATTTATCAGAAAATATATTCAGTTTAAATACAGAAAGAGCCATAAAATGACATTAAAGGGCTGTACATTTCAGCTGATACACTTTTCCTGTTATCCATGGGGAATTGCTAGACAGAGAAATTAGTCAGATTTCAATTTCATCAAGATTCTGGGTCTGTATATTTGTGTGTGCATCTGTACATTTTAACTTTTAAAGACAATGACATATCAAAAAATATTTCCATAAAATCAAAAAAGAAGGCTTTAAAAATAAATACCATTTATTATTGTATAATTTCTGATAAGTTCAATAAAATTTTATAATTATTCAATATTTTTTTTTGTGTATAAAAAATTAAGTTTTTATTTTTTCAACTTCATGATTTTATTGCTCAGCCCTGGGTTGGCGTAATCCTGACTGAGTAGGAGGTGAGGATGTATTATTCCAATGTTTTATTTCAAATTGTCAAATTATATGTGTATGTTTGTCATACATTAAATGGCACAAGCACATGTAAGTCATTCCCTCACTGTACAGATATGCATATACATTATATACACATATGCAAAGTCACACTCAGGCCATGTGTAATGGACAGAGAATCATCTTTTTTTTTTAATAATATAGATTTAGATACCTGTTTAAACAGTTATTCAATTTAGATATCAATTTTAAGTGGACGTCTGCAACTGATCAACTGAAGTGCCTATGTATACTGCATATCCTTTTCCATTCATCTGAATAACGGTAGCTATGCAATGTGCTATGAAGTCTCCATGGGTATGTTTATTTAGGCACATTGCAGGATTAAGTTGTGTTTGTTGGTGATTTTGTGGAATTTACTATTGAGGTTTACAACATGCCCCTATATCTGCTCAGTCAAGTTTAAACGTAGTCAACACAGAATACAATGAAGTCCATAGAAGTTAGTCAAGTGTTTCTGGAATGAATTTTATGTCACTCCTGCTCAATGGGGAGGGAAGTGCATTTTATATATATATATATATATATATATATATATATATATATCACTGACACAAACTGCCACAACTGAGAAAAGAAAACCAACAAACAAAATGTGATATGGATTTAGTTTATATAAGATGGATAAAGGTAATTTTTTTCTTTTTTAATCATTTCACCACAAGCATGACAATAAAGCCACTTCTCCCCCAGCTATGGGTTAATTAGTAGGACTTGTATCACTAAAACATTATTATCTCCCTTCTCAAAAAAAAAAATTCTTAGAATCTAAAAATATTTTCTGCAAAGTGTTGATAAGCCGTAGAAAATGAATGAATGAATTAAGTGCTAACTTTTAATGCCTTTCCATTCAGCTCTATTTGCTTATATACTAGTGTATTTTCTTTCCTTTCTTAATCGGTCAATTGTTACATAAAAACACAAGAAAATATTGCGCTGTTGAAATTTATTCCATTGCTTTTTACCTCTCCTGATAATGATGACCCAACATTTATATGTATAAATTCTTGTTTGCCACTGCTTTTAGTCCAGATAGGAACAGTACAACAGTGACTGAGATCTTTCACACACACACACACGATTCCTAATAGCTAAATTCTAATGCCTTCTTTCCATTCAGCTCTATTTGCATATATACGTGTGTATTTTCTTTCCTTTGTTAATCAGTCAATTGTTATATAAAAACACAAGAAAATATTGCTTTGTTAAAATTTATTTCATTGCTTTTCACCTCTCCTGATAATGACAACACGTCTTTTACATGTGTAAATTTTTGTTTGTCATTGCTTTTACTACAACTACAGAGTGACCTGTAAACAAACGGTAAATTCAGAAAGAAATTTCTTTAGCTGTCATGATTCATGCACAAACTGAACAATTATCGTAGATGTTCGAAATGTTTGCCTGAATGTTCAACACAAAGTTTTAAGCATTTGTAACCAGGAGGAGGCAGTAGCTTTTTGGAGAGTGTCAAGTGGAATTTCATTCCAAGTTTCAGTTAAGTTCTGCTTCAATGAATCAATATCGATGATGTCACAACAATGGTTTTGCAAGTGAGTTAGGAGTATCACTCCAGATACAGTAAACCATAACATTCAGATCTGGGCTTTTAGAGGGCCACTCAGATCGATCAATTAGAACTGGTGTATTTTCTCAAAGAATGAATTTGCTGTTTTTTTACTGGTCACTCTGTAGAAGTAACATATGGCAACTGCCAGTGTGATTTGGACATGCGTATACATGTATAAAATGAAAATTGTTATATTCAGTGATTTATCAAGTAAGAATTACAATCTTCTATAATATTATATTTTTTGTATGTGCTAATTTATGGTTCGATGAGGGAGAGACTTGGCTACTTCAGCCCTTTTTCCCTTCTTTTTGCTGAAACTGAGCTATATCGTTTGTCTAAAATCATTACTGCTGTTAATTTTCAAAACAAATCAGAAAATTTGATTTTCTTTTTATTAAAACATTAGCCTTTAAAACTGTTTAAAAAATTTATGGATTTTATTCTAGGAACAAAATACAAGTGAAAAGCAAAAAAACACCTTGCAGGTTAGATTAACCTTTAACACTCTGCATTATTAATATTACTTCACTTTCCACTGCATTCTTTTTCACAATCTCTCACTTTCAGTATCCTTGTTGTTAATTTCACTCAAAGTTGTTTTCTGTTGCCATAGCAGGATCTAATAACACAACTATGAAATTCAAACACACTATTCTTCAGGAATCAGTCATCTTCAGTAGCAGAATAAACATTTTGTACAGCAAATAAAGTCACATACAGTGATAAAGGTTTATTTGTGTGTAAGTGAATAGAACAAACCGAACTGAAATTGGAACTCTGCTCTCTGATTAACAATTCCTAGCCATTATCCATGAAACCATCTGCATATCCAAGCCTACAGAACCTGGTATTCCCAAGTGGTCACCCATCTAGGTACTGAGCAGGCTTGACATTGCTTAACTTTGGTGGTTGTATGGGAATTGGTGTCTCAATGTGATATGGCTGTAAGCCCTCTGGAGGAATCTTGCTTTATTGCTAGAATATTATGGAGAGTGGAATAATAAACTACATCCAGCAGCAAGGCCTCTCATCAGGAGGTTTTGAGGAGTGTTGAACCACCTCTTAATTGCAGTTGCTCCCAGACCCACCCTGACCCAGGGTAGTAGCACCTGTTAAGGCTCCAGCTATGAGCAAATAGTTAACCCTCAAACTGGGGTCAAAACACTATGAAAGTATAAAAATACTTTTTTTTATAGTGAAGGTACCAGCAATACATTTTTGTAAGGAAAAAAACATATTACCAGTAATATATTTTTATAAAAAAATGATAGTACCAGCAAAACATTTTTGTAAAAGTAATAACTAATGTTTCCAAGTATTGTATAGGAATAAAGTGTCGTTGCTGACACTGTAGTTTGAACACAGATCACCAGCAAGCAAACAGGTGATTCCGTTATTAAATAAGTAGATCACATGATTGTAAAGGAAACTTATAAATGGGAATTAGTGTGACGTCTAAGGGATCGCTATTTTCTATACTATTCATTATACTATTTCTCTATATTGATCGTTATACGAATTACTATTCAGTGATTACTATTTGAACAAGTATTATTAGTACAAGTATTATTTGACAGCAGTATCTGCATTTACAAAGTTTCGGCTACAACAAGTGATAACAAGAATTCATTGACCTAATGAAAATTAGAATGTGTTAGCATCTAACATCACAAAAATGACAACACGAAGGCGTTGGACATCACAAAACCAAGAAAATTAAATTTCAACATTAAATGACCCATAAGGAGTTTATATGCCATTAAACAAACAAGCAAACTTTAAACTTAGTTTAAAATCTATCTTTAGTTTAAATTTTCAGCTGAGAATTTAATTATTGCTATGATATTAAATTCATAAAATAAAAGTAAAATATAATGATATTGTTTTTGTTTACATATGGTTTATGGGAAATTAAGTTAACTGAAATCTAATTTTGTGGTAATAATGCTGTATTCTTAACTGGTTCCCGGCAGCTTACATAAAAAAACAGTTTACAATACATTTACAGTGATTTATCAAGTAGGAATAAATATTATCATAATGATGTAATGGAATAACCTGTAACCCCCATAAGTAACTGCACTATAGGTAGTGGTAAGTTAACAGACTAGCGGGGATCTGTTCCAGCTAAACAGTCGACCTCTCTGTCTCTGAGCAGAGAGGAACCTGGACAAGGCTCTGCCAAAGGGCAGAGTCTTGTTCGAGGAGGTAGACTGCCCCTGAACCCATTTATGAGGGTTCGAAAGGGAATATTTTTGGCCAGGCCTACGGACTCGGAGAACCCATGTTAAACAGACCTTGTGCCACATGTAACCTTCATGGTGGGGTAGCTAAATATACTAGCTGGGATCTGTTGAGTACAACTCAGACTTACACAAGAACTACCGACCTTCCAATAGTAACACTCACTATTCGATTGACTTGTGATGACCTTGTGCATAACTGTTACCTTTATTCTTATTGTACTGGTTTTTACAATAAACCTTTACTTATTTTATCCAGCTTGTTTTTTAAATATATATCAGCATGGAATATAACACAATATATATGTATGTATGTATGTATGTCTTGTCGATTTCTATGTCACAGCCACACCCTACTAGGCATTGCTACTGTGATCACTGTAACAATTAGGTTTTATGAGGTGGTATTGCTAGCCCCATGTCCAACTGGTTTTGAATTCAGAGTTATCCTTCTCCTAGACTGGTTGCTAACCAAGGCAAGAGAGCCCAGCCTTCTCTGCTGTTAACCCTTAGCTGAATTTGCGGGTAGAAGAAACCAGTTCATACCTTTCCAATGGTATTAGTGCAAAGGCCATGGCTAGAATATGAATTCAACATACCAATCCTACTATTTGTACTGATAACCAATATACAGTACACATGCACATTATCATAATAAGCCTTGATCTATTTTATTAAATTTGGTTTCTCCGTTGACGAGTTTTTTTTGATAATTTCCAATTCCAGTATCCATTCTTGAACTATAAGAACAGAAGAAGAATCCACTGCATTTTACTTATTTATTTCATTAATTATTTTTCAGATTTTGGAAAAAGCAATGGCTAATTCTAAGAGTAATTGTAGAAGTAAGTAATTTGTTAATATACATCTGCATGTTGTTTGTACCTTATCAGATCTGTTGTGATAATTATTATTGTATTTTATATAAAATATGATAATTACTTTTTATAATTTATATTACTCTCTTTTCTCCTTCCTAGCTTTCAATCTCTCTCTTTTTTCCCCTTCCTAGCTTTCAATCTCTCTCTCTCTTTTTCCCGTCCTAGCTTTCTGTCTCTCTCTCTTTTTCCCTTCCTAGCTTTCAGTCTCTCTCTCTCTTTTTCCCTTCCTAGCTTTCAGTCTCTCTCTCTCTTTTTCCCTTCCTAGCTTTCAGTCTCTCTCTCTCTCTTTTTCCCTTCCTAGCTTTCAATCTCTCTCTCTTTTTCTCGTCCTAGCTTTCAATCTCTCTCTCTTTTTCTCGTCCTACCTTTCAATCTCTCTCTCTCTTTTTTCCCTTCCTAGCTTTCAATCTCTCTCTCTTTTTCCCTTCCTAGATTTCAGTCTCTCTCTCTTTTTCCCTTCCTAGCTTTCTGTCTCTCTCTTTTTACCTTCCTAGCTTTCAGTCTCTCTCTCTCTTTTTCCCGTCCTAGCTTTCTGTCTCTCTCTCTTTTTCCCTTCCTAGCTTTCAGTCTCTCTCTCTCTTTTTCCCTTCCTAGCTTTCAGTCTCTCTCTCTTTTTTTCCTTTCCTAGCTTTCAGTCTCTCTCTCTCTTTTCCTTCCTAGCTTTCAGTCTCTCTCTCTCTTTCTCTCTCTCTCTCTCTTTACTCTTCCTAGCTTTCAATCTCTCTCTCTTTTTCCTTCCCAGCTTTCAGTGTCTCTCTCTCTTTTTCCCTTCCCAGCTTTCAGTGTCTCTCTCTCTCTTTTTCCCTTCCTAGCTTTCAGTGTCTCTCTCTCTCTTTTTCCCTTCCTAGCTTTCAGTGTCTCTCTTTTTCCCTTTCTAGCTTTCAGTCTCTCTCTTTTTTCCCTCTCAGCTTTCAATCTCTCTCTCTTTTTTCCCTCTCAGCTTTCAATCTCTCTCTCTTTTTTCCCTCTCAGCTTTCAATCTCTCTCTCTTTTTCCCTCTCAGCTTTCAATCTCTCTCTCTTTTTCCCTTCCTAGCTTTCAGTCTCTCTGTCTCCCATTAATAGCTTTCAATCTCTCTGTCTCCCATTAATAGCTTTCAATCTCTCTGTCTCCCATTAATAGCTTTCAATCTCTCTGTCTCCCATTAATAGCTTTCAATCTCTCTGTCTCCCATTAATAGCTTTCAATCTCTCTGTCTCCATTAATAGCTTTCAATCTCTCTGTCTCCCATTAATAGCTTTCAATCTCTCTGTCTCCCATTAATAGCTTTCAATCTCTCTGTCTCCCATTAATAGCTTTCAATCTCTCTGTCTCCCATTAATAGCTTTCAATCTCTCTGTCTCCCATTAATAGCTTTCAATCTCTCTGTCTCCCATTAATAGCTTTCAATCTCTCTGTCTCCCATTAATAGCTTTCAATCTCTCTGTCTCCCATTAATAGCTTTCAATCTCTCTTTCTCCCTATCCGAGTGTTCAGTCTCTTTCTCCCTATCCGAGTGTTCCGTCTCTCTCTCCAATTACTAGCTTTCAATCTCTCTCTCTCTCCCATTACTAGCTTTCAATCTCTCTCTCTCTCCCATTACTAGCTTTCAGTCTCTCTCTCTCTCCCATTACTAGCTTTCAGTCTCTCTCTCTCCCATTACTAGCTTTCAGTCTCTCTCTCTCCCATTACTAGCATTCAGTCTCTCTCTCTCCCATTACTAGCATTCAGTCTCTCTCCTTCCTCCCCCCTGTCTAGCATTCAGTCTCTCTCCTTCCTCCCCCCTGTCTAGCATTCAGTCTCTCTCCCTCCTCCCCCTGTCTAGCATTCAGTCTCTCTCCCTCCTCCCTCCCCCTTTGTAGCTTTCACGCCCTCTCCCTCCCCTTTAATAGCTTTCTATCTGTCTCTCTCTTCCCTTTACTAGCTTTCTATCTGTCTCTCTCTCTCCCTTTACTAGCTTTCTATCTGTCTCTCTCTCTCCCTTTACTAGCTTTCTATCTGCCTCTCTCTCTCCCTTTACTAGCTTTCAATCTGTCTCTCTCTCCCTTTACTAGCTTTCAATCTCTTCCTCTCCCCTTACAAGCTTTCACTTTCTTTCCCTTTCCCAGATTTCTTTCTGAAATTTGTTTTATTCATTTTCTTTATGTCAATTTATTCTCAAAGTACATATAACAATGCTGTTCTATCAGTCATTGCTGGAATGTATATGTTAGCATTCTGATGATATATTCGCTTTCATCACTTATGAAATTCTTAGAAGTCTAGTTCACTATTATTAATAGTTAAATCTTTAATTTTTCTTAATTTCTTAATTGTTAAAAAATTCTTTGTAATTGTTGATTCTTTGATTTCAGATGGCATTCCTGCTCGATATGTTCTGGCCATCGTTGCTTTCTTTGGATTTATCAATGTCTATGCTTTGCGAGTGAATCTGAGTGTTGCCATAGTCACAATGACCAATCTCACAGACAATCAATTGTCATCCAACAACAGTGAATGTCCAGTTAACAATAACACAGCAGCATCAAAACATGTAAGCCTATTTCTGTATGATTAAAATTTTCTATTTCTGCTCTCTACCATGGTGTACTGATCAACAAGCTCATCTTGCAGACAAGTACTAAGTAGCGAGTTGGAACCTAAATCTATTTTTGTAATAACTATTAAGCATCAGATCAATATTAAAGATTGATTTAAGATATTCTCATTCTTTCTTTCTATGTGTTGTCTCTTCAGGATGTGGACGATCATGGCTCTCCACAACTTCCAGTCCCACTTGACTCTTAGCAGCATTTCTCCCTTTGCCATGCCCTCTCACTCCACATTCTGTTCTGCCATCCATTCCCACAAACTCATCAGGTCGGTGATTTACTGCCTTCCTCTGTCTCTCTTACAGCCGATATGCCCTGTGAGTGTTCATTTTTCCAAGCCCTCCTTCCTCATGTGTCCAGCCTTCTCTTTCTGATTCTGTGTATAAGTGTTTTTTTTCTTTAAATTTTCTTTAAAAACTTTTTCATTTCTCTTTTAATCATTTCACTCCTAGCAAGGCAATAAAACCACTAAGATGTAACAGTTTATTGAGTATTAGAGGGAAAAAAAGGTACTATTAAAGAGAGAGAATAAAAGAATAAGAATAAGACAGAAAATAACAATTGAAATTGCATTTAAATTTTTGAAGATCAAATTTGACTTGGAAGCTGGAAGATAGTTCCACAAGCGAGAAGTGCAATAGAAGAAACTGTTAGCATAGAACTAACAGTTACAGCTAGACATTTCAATTGTAAAATAATGATGTTGCTGCCAATTTAGTACTGTGCTTAAATTCATAAAGTCTGGGTACCATAGAGGAAAGTTCGTCAGAACAATTACCTTGAAAATATTTATAGAAAAGGCACAGGGAAGCTACATTCCTGTGGTGTAAAAGTGACTGAAGTCAAGATGCCAGGTCAGGACCAATAACATTGCAGATTCTTCTTTGGATTTTATCAAGAATCTCTAAATATATAGCTGGTGTATCAGACCATATGTGGCAGCAATATTCAAAGCATGGATGAATGCTAGACTTATAAATATATAAGATAGATTCTGGAGAGAAAAATTGTCTAGCACAACACAGTAAACCAACTTTTCTAGCAGCAGGCCTTGCAGTTGGTTCAATATAATCTTTCCACTTCATGTCAGCAGAAAATGTTAGCTTGAGAAGGTGCAATGAGTCACTCTCCTGGAAGTTAGTATCAACCATACCAATGGAAGGCAAAACGAAGCCTCTCAGGTGATTGATAGAGTTCCTTATTGCTTACTTGCTCTGTCAATGAAATTCATAGTATCCTTTTGTAGAACCAAATTTTTGTTGCTTACAGTTTCCCCTTCATCTGTGGTGAGATGGTCCAGCATTCACTGCCATATTTGAGGATTGATATCACATAACAATTTCAGCTAAGAGAAAATAGTTCTCAGTGATCATATATATAAACTGGTATGCCAAAATTCAAAATAGTCAAACAACTCCTACCAAATTGAAAATAGTCTGAACTTTAACATAGAATCTTTTTTTTAAAAAAAAAAGAAGCAGTGATTGCTGTATAAATATTTAAAGTGACTATTTTGAAGTGGGTGGTGGGAATTTGATCTAATTCATTTTTTTTTAAATAACATTTTTTTTTTTTTTTTCATAATCAAATTATTCAAACTTTCTGTTCCAATCTTTATATGAAAGACAAATTCTGTCCCCTATAGAATTGCCTTGAATATAAACACAAATGTTTTTAACAATGAATATTAAATCTGAGTTAATAAACATGACAGGAAGAGGGGGGAAATGTAGAATGGGTGAGTGGAGTTAAAATTCCTAATCTGTTGTTGACTTTCACACAAATACCTTTGGGAAAGACATAAGTCCATTTTTTTTTTTTTTTTCCCTTTACGTTAAAAAGCAATTTAGGCAGAGCTCTCTAGCCTTGGCTGGCAGCTAGTCTTGGAGAAGACAACAACTCCACTCTATTTGTGTATATAAGCTCAAAGGGATTTTTTTGTAATCAAATTTTTCAAACTTTTTGCTATAACTGTTACATGAAAGACAAATTCTGCCCCCCTTTGAATATAAACAAATATCTTTTAAGAACAATTGGAATTTTGTTTTTCTTTTTTCTTGTTTTTCTTTTTTTTTTCTTTTTTTTCATTTTTTTCTTTTTTCTTTTTTTTTTTTTTTTTTAAAGGCATGGTAGATCTAGTAAAATTTTTGTGGCTATTTTTGGTCAGATTTAGTTAATGAAAATGAAACCTTTTACATAAATAGCTTTAAATTGAGGAAGACTTTATTTCTATTTTCAACTTTGGTAGTCAGTACAGGGTGGCGATTCAGTCATGTAAGTGTGTGAATTTAAGCAAATCATTCCACAAAAAAGATATAGAAAATCTTTTTTTTTTCTTTTTCCCTTTTTTTTTTTTTTTTTTTTTTTAGAATATCAAAGTTTGACAAATGAATATAAGGCTAAATATAAGAAATTCTTTAAAAAGTATTTGAATTTTGGCAGAAATGTAGGAACAAACATTTTCTTTCCTCAAGATTTAGTCCAAAGACTTCTACAGGGTGTGTCCCTAAAGTTGGGACACACAGGCAAAAATGCATATTTTTAAGAAATTAAATTTTCAACAACATTGAATTGGAATATTAACAAATAACATCTTCATTATGATTTCCCTCTTCCTCTTTTGTGAGGCAAACGTTGATGCGCTTTGCAAGATTCATGTGAACTCAATGCAATAACTCCACATTGCTGTCAATTTTATCACATTCACTCTTTATGCGTTCAATCAAGTTATGCATCTGTGATTTTTTTTTTTTTGAGTACACCTCCTTTAGAATAGCCCAAAAAAAGAAGTCAATTCTTTCTTTTGACAAAATCATGTTTAATCTGTGAAGGCCAAAAAATATAGTTTGAGATTTCCTGTGTCCAGACTTTAGTGATACATCCTTTATATCTGCTCATGTTAACTCTTGTAAAATTGCTTATGCCTTTGGTAATGGCAGATCCCATAAATGCCAGGTAAGTCAGTAAACACATACACAAGTTCCTACCCAAAAGGTTTCAAGCACTTAAAGTATGGCTTCCTCAAAGAAAATTTATTTCCTTGTAGAAATATCTAGTGAGACATGGGAAACACAGAGTAACTTTATAGTGGAATGAATTGCTTAAACTCTTTGAGCTTCTGGGCAGTGTCTGTATGAGTGCGTTTTGTTGCAGATATTGGAGTAGACAATTGAATTGGTAGACTGACTTCAGATTCCAACCTGGGTTGTGATGTTCACTTCACAGTAATGCCCTTGGGGAACGTCATGAATTTGTTTCTTCTCCCTTCCCATCTATGAACTAAACAGCTGTACAGATTGAGATCAGTGGGTATTGTGAAGGCACTCAGTCTAGGAGAAAGATAATTCTAAAATGAAACCCTCTGCTAATAAATCATGAGACAGTATGACAGACTTTGCAAAGGCTTGGGTATGTTATTTAAAAGAGAAGTATGGAAAGGCTGGTTTTTTTTTGGTTTTTTTTTTAAATAAGAGAATATCATAAAACTTGTAAAATTTCTGCATGATGATAAAATTCACTTGTTTCTAGTCTGAGTTTTGCAGACATTACATTCACTTGTCAGGAGATTGGTTTGTAAAATTTTAAGACTCAGAGTAGAGACAAGATAAGTGAGCATTTCATTTTATTTATTACTATTATTGCTCTAACTCTTGATATCAAGTACAAGAATTGTAAAGACAGCTTGTCTTAAAAATGGTTTCTTTTTTTTTTAAATATAATCTTTATATATATATAGATAGATAGATATGAAAGAGACACTGCATTATATCTTGATAAAGAATTTATTGCCGATATTAAGCACTCCTCTTCTATAAATATAGCAAATTTTAAACACACACACACACACATATATATGAGTAAAAGAAATTGAAAATGTAATAGATTATCTAGTTAGATGTGAGACATATCATGGCATTTCCACACATCTTTCAATGTAAGTTTTGAAAATCATAGAATTATGAAAACGGCAAAGTTACTGTATATAAATATTCTTAAAGACTCCATTTTTATTTTCTTTTTTCTTATATTTTTACCTATATGGGATATATAAAAAATTACTTTCTTACATACATATACACACACAAATATATATGTATATGTGTATATATATATATATATATATATATATATATATATATGTGGACTAAGCCCTACAATTATTTTAAAATATTTTTTTTATATCTTATTTTTATAGATACAATTATTTAAGTAAATTCTCTGTTTATAATAAACAATATTAATTACTGAATGTCCGAAAATTTCTTAGAAAGTTTGTCTTCTGACAGGAATTGAACCTGTGTCCTACATGGAACTGTCATTTGATCTGACATGCTTTACCACTCTGCTTAAATAATTGAATCTATAAAAGTAACATATAAACAGAATATATATATATATATATATATATATATATATATATATATATATATATATATATATATATATATAATTATTTATTTAAAAAGTTTATGACATAGACATGTTATAAAATCACTACAAAAATAGCCATTTTGTTTCAACACCCCAGTGTCTTATCAAGTGATGATGTTGAATCTATATATATATATATATACTAAAATACTACTGTAAAAATAGTGGCAGTGTAGTAGTGTCTTGAAATAGACTTAGTTTTGAGGTTGAAACATTATTATAACTAACTCAGGGCACACTAAAAATCCTTCATTATATAAGCAGGTTTTGTTGGTTTTTCTTTCACAGTGTAAGTATGCAATTTCTTCAGATGAAATGTTTGCTTGATCTTTGAGTCTTTTTTCATATATTTCCTAGTTTGTAATGGATACATGCCAAGATTAGTTAGATTAGTGTAACAGAGAATTGAGTTCACTCGATAAGACACTCAGAGTTGGTTGTGTGCAGAGCAGTAACCACTACATGTCCTCTTCCACAATTGGCTGTCGAGAGAGGAAATTCTACTTAGAGT